CTATATGTGAAACACCCGGTAACGGGTGTGTTTAATCGTCGGGTCTTTTCTGCCCGTGCGTGCCCGCTAGGGGGCGCGCGCGAGCAGAAAAAAATTGCCATCTGGAGACGGCAACCCGCAGATGTAGCAGTGCCGTCCGTCCGTTTTTTTACTACGGGCGGACGGCAAGAGGTTAATACATGAATTGGCATGGTAAGTGAAACGTGTTTTGTGCATGATGAGAGAACCTGCACAGCCATGGAGAATGTAAGTGGTGACAATACTGTGAAGTAAGATGCAAGTTAGTGTATCCATGATGCCCTTTGTGCAGGCTCCACCTCTTCTGTTCCAATCCATGTTACAAGATTACCTCTGAGAAAATAAACACCAGTATGTGCTACTGCACACTGCCTGATTTGCAGATACTAGCCACTCTTTGGCATAGTCCATGATTTAGGAGTATGCAGAAAATAGGGGGTTATCTTCATGTTACTTATAGAGTCACATAAGCTCCTTTACGTCCTTCCACTTTGGTTGTAATGATGAATTTACCTAGAAGTGTCAGAGGTTTCCAGAGTAAAAATAAAAGCTATTAAAGGAAAAAATGAACACAATAACCTGCTACCTGAGGCATTGGTCCACCTGTGCCATTTGGCAAATACAGCACTGCAAAGGTGACATAGCCTCACATCTTCTCTTGTAATTGTCTACTACATTTCATATACTTCCTGGTCCGTAGAGAATTGGAAAATATCCAGACTAAGAGTACGGCTGTGTTGAAGAAACCCAATTTGAGAATCTGGGCAGTTCTCCAGAATTTTGTATTTTTAGTTTGTTCATTTTGTTTGTACAGTTTATTTCTATTTAGTTTTTTGTTTTTTTGCCTAATATTGTAAAATATTACAGCAAAAAAAAAGGTAACTTTGGAGATCAGTAACAAGTGTGATTTTTTTTTTTTTTTTAAAAGAGCATTTTCAATTAGCATTGTGTTAATCATCATTGGCTTCTCACTCTATTATCTTTTACATATCCGCAGATCTCAGTGTATACCTTTCACTGTTATTCCCCTTAATTCTGTGTGGAGTCAGTCCAGTGTACTTTCTGTAACATCGTGTAATTTGGAGTCTGTTTAGTGGGAAAGAGAAGAGGACTCTGCCCACTTCCATAAAGGTCTCAGAAGAAGAAGTGTCCTCTGATTAATTGGCATTTTAAGCCATACTCAGGTCCATTTTAGACAAAATCATTTCTACGCAATTTAAAAAAAAAAAACTTTGTTTCCATTACATATAAGTAATTACTGTTATTAAGTCCAGATTTTGACAACATTTTGGAAAGCTGTAGTCTCATGCAGTTGAACTGAGTTGAACTTTGCAAAAATCGACTAAGTTAGCACAAGGCTTCTTATACTGATCAGCAAATTTTGAGAATCATTATGCATTTGAAAATTCAGTTTTTTTAAGTATTTACTGCATAATCATTGTTATGGTTACATCTAAAAATTAAATAACCATTGTCCAATTTAGCTGGTGTTTATAATGTCTTTGGGCAGTGGTGGGCATCCCCAGCAATTTCACAGAGGGGTAACAGCTGCAAGAGTAAAGTGCTTGTTTTCGTCTAGGGAGGAAAATAAAAAAAGTTATACTCACCTGAACCTGAGAGCTGGCTGACTGTTAGTCTGGTCCCTGCCGCCTTTCTCCCCCTCCGCTCCAGCGGTCTAATGTCCTGTGAGTCATCACGTTCTATACAGTGTATTGGACATAAGGATGCTAATGGACATTCCATTGCTGGAGCGGAGGAGACAGGCGGCAGGGACCAATCTAACAGCTAGCTGGCTCTGAGGTTGACGCAAGTATAACTTTTTATTTTCCTCTTCTTTAAATTAAAAAAATTGTTTGGTGGTCAGGCCAATACACCTGACTGCAATCTAATGAAGTTTACAGTAGTTGCGTATATGCAGTGTAAATTCAGAACGCTGGCACTCTTATCAACTATGCCTAATGAATCCTATGTTTCTCAAACTGAGTTTGTTCTGTAATGCAGCTTTCAGTTTTTAGTGTTCCTATGTTGAAGCAATATGTTATGCCTCTCAGGATGAATAGAAATCAACTGGTAATATCTATGGGCTTAATTGAATCCTACAGGAAGACACCTGTCTTTTCACATTTTAAAGCCCTGTATAAGAGGAGGCAACATAACCTGCCTGCCATTACCGTTACTTGGCAGAAAACAATCATCTGTGTGGCTTCCCTGACTTGAGGGCTTTCAAATGTTATTGCTCGTTCCATCAGGAATGCCCTTATACTGGGGTACTGTCATTTCACATAGGAATGGCAGTTGACAGGGCTGAGACTAAAAGTCTGTGAAACTAGTTTTTGAGAGGCACATTTGAGAGTTGGAAAATAGTAGGCATCTTGTGATGTCTGTTCTTATTTTTAAATGATTAACAGGTTTACTGTGTTTTGTCACCACAATACCAAATAATAACACATAACATTGCAACATCCTTTATCTAAAAATAGAACACATATTAACATTACTATAATAGGTAAGATTTTGGTTAACTGTGGTATCATATCTGTTTATGAATGCTTATTACATCACCAGGTGCTTATATTTTTTTCCCTCTGAAATCTATTCTTATATTTTTTTCATCCCAGTTCCTAAAGATGGACTTAAATGCCAAGCTGCTTTTGAAGAAATGAGAGTGAATTACATTAAAGAACTGAGGAAAATATTAATGAAGAGCCCACACAGTGCTGGACAGAGCTGGCAGCGGTATTTCCATCTAACTAAACTTCTAGACTCTGTTCATGATGTAAGTACTAGTCTAATGATCCGACTTACTTAAATTAAATCTACGTTTATATATAAAAAAATGGAGAATGTCCCTTAAGTACCTTATATTTATATATCAGATATGTGATGGTGATATGACTTCCACTAATTATTACATGTAATGCACATTATCATATGATAAATACTGCATACCAATATTGTATGAAAAATAGCTGATGTCAAAGGACATTCCTGCCATGAAGAAAGAAGTTCTAGGTGACAGTGTATACAGAGTCTTAAGGAGTCACTACCCTCACTGTTTCTCATCAGTTTCCACTGAATGTAATAGACAGCAAGAGGTTGCAGCCAAAGACAATGTTTTTCTTCACCTCCTCCTACAATTTACACGCCCCAGAAAAGCTCCTCCTGCACTCATTGCATGTAGAGATAGCAAAGGAAAGGTGACTCCTGTTCATAAAAGTTGTAGCAATTGTTTTACTATTATTATTGTGGAAGATGCATTTAGAAAATAGCTTAATTACGGCTGTATAGTTTGGATTAGAATATTAAGATACATTTGCTGTCAAACAATGCTGTTGTTTTTTGGGGGGAAATTGAGGATTGTGTGAAGCAACTCGTATCCTGTATGTACTGTATACAAACTTTTAGTTTGCCATCTCATTTATTTTGTTTTATGAGTATAATTAGTTTCTTAACCAATTGCCATCCACCCATTGTAAAAATGGGTGGACGCACATGTACGTGATTTTTTTCTGCTCGTGGGCGAATCCCGCTGGAGTGTAATCAGCCAATACCGGCTGTTACATACAAGCGTTCGTTCGGCTGGCCAATCGCTTGTATGACAACATACAGTGTGCGGGTCCCCCCTCCATTGCTGTGCCCCCCTCAGCTGCCGCACACTTCCCCTCCGCTGCCGGTTATAGACAGCGGCACAACAGCTGTCTATACTGAGAACGGAGGAGAGATCAGCATTCTCCCACTGCTGATCTCTCCTCCCTCTCTAAGAGCGGAAGCGATGTGTAATATATTACTTCTGCCTTTAGCTGTGATTTCTCTGGCTGCTATTGCTTCATCTCTGCTTCATCAGCTGTGAATGCAGAAGTGATGTGTATTACATCACTTCCGCATTCACCTGTCAGTCATCTGGTGAGAGAAGAAGCTGATAAAGCAGATCTCTGCTTTATCAGCTTCTTTGGGGGTCCCAAGGTGATATTAGGGGTCTTAGAGACCCCTGATGTCTCCATAACGATGACCTGTCATTGTATGTTCACTATCACATGGGGATAACAAGTCTCCTATGTGATCGCAATAAAGAGGACCTGTTTTAAGTGTAAAAAAAAATTAAATCTCATATAAAAAAAAAAAGAACAAAAATACCCAAAAAATGTTAAGTCCCCCACCCCTGCGCGCACGCACATACAAACATAAATACGCATCGGGTGTGCCTACATGCGAAAACAACTATTTCCCCACAAACATCCCAGTGAGAGCAATAATTTTAGGATCACGAATCACTGATAACACAAAACTGATGAGCGGTAAAAGCTTTTACAGCGTCGCCTATGGCCAATTCTAGGCATGGTAGTTTTTTGCAATTTTTGCAGGCGCACGCAGTTTTAAAGCTTGACATGTTTGGTGTCTGTTTACCCGGCGTGACCCCGTCTTTTATGTTTTACCAAAATAATTGGGTACTAATAAATGTTTTATAACATAACTTAGGGGAAACTGTTTTTTTCCCAACATTTTTTTAACTTTTTTCATTATATAGTACAAAATAAAAACCCCCAGTAGTGATTAAATACCACCAAAAAAAAGCTCTATGTGTCCCCAAAATATGGTATAACATTCATTTCAGTATTGCGTTGCATGATGGAATAAACGTCAGTCAAAGTACCGCAGTGCTGAATACTGGAAAATGGCCTGGACAGGAAGGGGGTGTAAACACCCTGGTCTTCAAGTGGTTAAAGAAGAACTCCAGGAAAAAAAATTGATTAACCCTTACAGTGGGGCTACGCCTGCACTGCATAGGTTAAGTGCTTGTTTGTGTATGGGTGCTAAAAAAAAAAAATTGTACTCACCAGACCATCCGAGCCGGCTTGTTCTTAGAATGATGTCTCTCTCCCTCTGCTGCAGTGGTCTAAGGACCCTGGTGTCATCACACTCTGTACACTGTGCATAGACTATGTATAGACCTGAGGACGCCGAGGAGCAGTCCATCTATGCAGCCAGGAGGAGACACGATTCAGTGAAAAAAATAAATTATATTTATGAGTGTGAATGAGAAAAGATTGTGTGATTAAAATAACAGGTGCACATGAAATAATTTGTGCATCTTCGTAAATTGACCTTTGTGTGTTTCTGTTGCTTTGACGTCTATTTGAAATATTTATTTATTTATCATATTCTACTTGCCTACCTAATTATGTGCACTTTACAAACTATGTTTGTGTTACTTCATTTCCTGACTCAGTAGAGCTGAGTCTGAACTCTGTGTTACTCCTGACCATTGCACTCTGCATTACTTACTACTGAACTCTGATCTCTGTGTTACTTGCTCCTGGCCCCTGCACTCTGTGCTACTTATTCCTTACACCTGCACTGTGCAGTAAATACTACTGACTTCTGCACTCTAGATTACTCCTGATCCTGCACTTTGCGTTACCTAATACTGACCTCTGAACTCTGCGTTACTTACTCCTTACCCCTGCTTTATGTATAACATAGTAATAACCTCTGAACTCTGCATTTCATACTATTGACCCTTTTTCTCTGCATTACTTCCCCCTGACCATGCACTGTGTGTTACTTACTATTGACCCCTGAACTCTTCAAACCTTCCTTACCTTTTAATAGGGCTTTGCTAGGTTATCTTCTTAAATAGAAGAGTGTTCAACACTAGTCAATCACATAGTTATAATAATACAATTTCTATCAAAGCACATGCATTGGGGGGAGTTTATCAAAACTGGAGCAGACAAAATCTGGAGCTGCTGTGCATAGTAACCAATCAGCTTCTCTCTTTAGTTGAAAATGAAAGAGAGATTGGTTGCCATGGGCAACTGCTCCAGATTTTGTCTGCTCCAGTATTGATACATTCCTTTCATTGTATCTTACCAGTTCAAAACCCTAACTTGGAATTAAATGTGTATTATTTTACAGAACCTAATAAAATGTTATTACTAAATGAAATCCAGGTGCCAGAACATGCATTTATTAAACCAAAAAGCTCCAATTTCTTTATGACCCTTGGGGCTTCTCACACTTGTTACAGATGACATAAGCATGCTTAACTGGTGACATAAAGCATGACATTTCACCACGCCCACTGTCATTGGCTAGCAAGCTCTCTATAGAGAAGTGTCGGTGACAGTTACAGATACATTACATGTTAAGACAGTGTGTAATTTAATTACAAGTGCCTCATATTAGGTAGTGAACTGCTTCTGTTACCACTATCCCCCTATTTAAGATATTTCTAGTTTTCCTGCGGCATTTAAGTTGCAAAAACTACTCCTGCATAATGCTGATTGTGAATTATACATGTGATGTGAAAGTCAGCAGAATTAGGGTACATAGAACATAGGTTGAACTCGATGGGCCCTTGTGTTTATTCAACCTTATCTACTATGTTACTAGGGTGTATAAATTGTTTTATGTATATGGCTGTCACTGCTATCTCATTACAAATGTGAAAGCTAAGCGCAGAATGTATGTAGGCACAGTAAACTTTATCAGATGCAGCCAATCTGGCAAATGCCAGAATTTCTGCAGCAGGCTGGGCCCTAAATTGTCCTAGAAAAGGTGGTGTATGCAGGGCAGAACTAAATTTATCTGAGCCTATGCAACATGCAGAACCTAAAATGTGTCCAAAAACAGCAATAAGACCTGTGATGTCTTCCAACCATATCCAAAAAAAACATAACACAATGAAACTTCAGTCAGTGAAATCCAGAAAGAAAGAAACGAGTGTCCTTGAATCAGAAGCCTAAAGCTGCCCATACACCTTGCAATCATCGGACGAAACTTTTCGTCCCATGATCGAACCATTGTATGTTTTTTTGTACGGCGGCCCCATCCTGCCCCTATTGTCGCATGGTTGGATCAGCGGTAATTAAAAGAAAGCACCTGGACGAATTGTGGTAATCGACCGCACGTATTTTCGTCTGCGCACGTGCAGTGTAGATTGTACGAATTTTGACATACGGATACGCCACCAACCTTGCAAAATCGTACGATCGAGCAAAGTTTCCTAACCTGCTGGTTAGTCAAAAGTCGATCAATTGTACAGTATTTGCAGTTGTACACTGCCCTTCAACCTTACGAATAATGGGGCGAAAATCGGCTGATATTCGTAGGGTGTATGGGCACCTTTAGAGTTGGGCCCCTGAGACCATGGATCTAGTAGCAGTTGCTGTTCCACATACCACTGCTAATAACTAGCAGAATTAACATAATTCAATCATGTAAAATGCAGATACCTCCTAAAAGGCTGGAGATCCTATTATTCTAAGATCTCTTTGAAGAAACTATTTGATTCAGGGGTTGTGCTAACAACCATTACCGTAGATGCTTGGAATTCTGCTCAGGCAGCTCATGCATCTTTTATCCAGCACTGTTGTACCTCCCCAAATTTTCTGTAACCTGACAACAAAACAAATTTACGGTTGCCAATCAATATAAGTTACATCAGATTAATTACATGTGAGATAGCTGTCTGACACTGTGAATTATTCTAAGGTATTTTATTTGGCTATATTTAACATTTCTGCTGAATATAAAAAAAAAGGAAAATAGCTAAATTTAGAATGCGGCGTATTTGAATGTTTTGACTGTGCTACCTTAACTGCTTGTTTTTCCTAGCAGCTGCCAAGTAAAATTCATGTGCTAAGACCTTTTATTTCCTTGTACATGTTGCTAAACCTCTTCGTACTTCATGTAGTTTTACATTTATGAGGTTTAAAAAAAGGCTTAGTAATCTATATCTTGGACAGAAGTGATCTGTGTCCGTCTTGTTGAAGT